AAACGACCATGCATTCGATTACTCTCGGTTTATACCCGTTTGTACCACTCTTCATTTCGTTTGTACTCTTAAGGGATGAAAGATCAGGGGGATGGGAAAAATAGTTAGCACCCAATTTTAAGATATCGCAATATGCCAATAGTCATTCGATTAAGCATCGTTCGTACCAGTTTGTACCGCCTTCACATTCGTTTGTACCCCCGGGGGTTCGTTTGTACCGCGATCGGAAGATAGGGGTGGAAGCTGACCTCTACGTTTTTCGAGATATTTGAAATCCGCGAATGGGTGCTGTTTCCAAATCGTTTGTACCCGTTTGTACCGCATTCACAATCGTTTGTACCCCTCGGGGTTCGTTTGTACCGCGATCGGAACACAGGGGTGGAAGATAGGGGTGGAAGCTAACTAACCATTGAGCAAGTCAAGCTTTCTGTACACTGTTTAGAAGTATACAGTCTGGCGTCGGGCAACTCACGTGATCGGATGACCCGTGAGTACAATTGACTGTGAATTGTGAACCACTAACTTCTCTAGTTAGTGGTACTGCATTTTTAAATGCAGTGCGACGCCAGATGGTTGCAACGTTATTTGTTTATGTTTTTCGTTTGAAACCCTTGGAAAAGTCAAGGGTTCTGTACACTGATTAGAAGTATACAGTCTGGCGTCGGGCAACTCACGTGATCGGATGACCCGTGAGTACAATTGACTGTGAATTGTGAACCACTAACTTCTCTAGTTAGTGGTACTGCATTTTTAAATGCAGTGCGACGCCAAATCTGTGCAATATTTTTTGCTTTATCGCAGCGACATCACGCGCCACGCGTATAAATACACGTCCGTAAGCCGGGAAAGGGCAGAGTCGATTCTCGAGGACATTCCGTCCATTCCGAGTTTCACGCTGAGGACACGTAGCCTACGCCAAGGTAATACGATCAGCAAACTCTCGTACCCAGTCGGTGGCACTTAGAACCCCGACTTCCCGCTCCCGCGGACGCACACGGACTTGTACTTTCGTAGGAGCTTGTCTACTCGGAACCTCCAGTTTGGGAGGCACGCCGAGGGACCTGCTCCATTCGTTTGAGTCAACCGCATTTACGTTTAGTCTCGCGTAGTATTTTAAGTCCCGCACTAGGATCATAGCCTAGTTTAGCATAGCGCAACAAATAAGTATTTTAGAGTTGTATCATCCGTCTGCGTCCGCCCTATAGTATGTTAGCATTAAGCCTCTTAAAACGTCATACGCATATCCGTTGGCCCTAACGCGCGACTATTCTTCTGTAAATCACGACGACCGACCGGAAGCGGCGACAAGGACCCTGCACTCGTAGCAGACCGACCAGTGTCATAATTTAAGTTTCTTTTAATAAATTATATGTTACCCTATATCAGTTTACGGTTTCTTTACCTTCCCTTAGCATTAAGTTCGTACGAAGACCGCGTAACCACTCGGCGGCGCACCTAACCCGCCGACTCGGGTTACGCGCATTACATGATATTAGTTCGAACTCAGCCTTACTGCTGATCGCAATGTTTTTTTCAAAGTTACTGACCCCAATAAGTATGGAATACGACGAAGAGATTACTTCTAGTGAAGATGAGTTCAATTTTTCTGCAATAACAAACGAAATAACATCACTACATAGACAGCTTGCCTATGAGAACGACGATAGTAGTGATGAAGATGGCGATGCCGTTAGAGGAGTAAGAAGATGAAAAATCCGATTAATCGATAGTGAATTTGAAAGCCAAAGTGATTGTACAGAAGAAACTGAACCTTCAGAATGGACAGTGTGCGCAGAATCCGAAGAAATCCCCACAAGAATACCGTTTGTATCCGGTGAAAGACAAGTAGGACCGCACGTAAGTGAACATATAAAAGAGCCAATAGATTTTTTCAAATTATTTTTTACCGAGGAATTAGTTACTGCCATAGTGCGGGAAACTAACAATAACGCTGCAAAGAAGGTAGAAGGGAAGACATTATGATCCCGTTCTATATGGCGATTATGGTACGATGTAACAGTTATCGAATTCTGGACGTTTATTGGAGTAATCATAAATATGGGGACAATGCCGTTGACCAACATACAAGAATATTGGTCGAAAAAGGATAATAGTTATATTCCGTTTTACTCAGAAACGTTTACGAGAGACCGATTTTCTCAAATATTTTGGAGATTTCACTTCAAGACAATACCCTTACAAAACATAAACCCTAGAACCCGTTTGCAGTTAGTATCTGGTTTTCTTGAGTATATAAATGAAAGGTTTTTGAATTATTTTGTACCCGGAGAGCAGATTTGTGTGGATGAGCCGACTGTCAAATTCAAAGGCCGAATATCATTTATAACATACAATCCAATGTAACCTACAAAATGGGGTATTCGGGTTTATACGCTCGCAGATTCAAATACCGGCTTCATGTGTGGTATTCTACCGTATTATGGATCTCTAACAACAGAGACTTTGATAAGACCCGATCTACCTGTATCAACTAGAATATCGCTGCATCTATACAAAATGATACTGGATAAAATTCTCGGTGCTCAGGGACACCACATGTTCACGGACCGTTATTATACAAGTTACATATTGGCGGAAGAATTACGCAAACAAAGGTGCCACTTAACTGGAACGATCATGACAAATAGAAAGCACCTGCCATGTGAAATACGAAAGCCAAAATTTGGAAATCGATCCACATGTGCATATCGCAAAGGTAATACTTTGATTCTTGCGTGGAAGAACAAAAGGATTGTGACAGCTTTGACGACTTGGAATAATGCGGGAGTGACTTCCGTAAGAAGGACTCTACGAGGCGGTACTGAAGTCGTTATAAAAAAGCCCAATGTTATTGAAAATTACATCAAATTCATGAGCGGTGTTGATCGAGCTGACCAACTGGCTTCGACATATTGTTTTTTAAGAAAATCCGTAAAATGGTGGCGAAAACTATTTTTTTGGGGTTTGGAGATCTGCTCCATCAATTCATATATTCTTTATAAATCTGTAAAGAAGCAGAGAACCGAACGGCCGCTTAGCCACCTGCAATATTTGAAAACTTTAGTTGATCAATTGAGATTCACGGTTGTGCCGCCAATATAAACCAAGTACTTCACCTAAACAAAGTAAGCAATAATTAGCATTTATTCTGTTGTTGCATGTAATACAAAATCGTATTCTTATTTCACTTACAGTGGCTTCATAAGTTTCGTCAGCCTCATTGAAATTCTGCATCTCCTGCACCGATGACAGCGGCAGACACATCGGCTTCGTAGGAGCTCCTTGCTGAGCCTGCATGAGCCGCAGGATCTGCTTCAGCTGCCTGGAGTTCTCCTCCACCGTTTGTTGTGTTTTCCTGAAAAGGTAAATGTCAATTAAATACTAAAATTATGAATACATTTATATACATATATTTCACATGAATACTTACGCCATCATCGCCATCATTATGTCATACTTTCTCGTCAAGTCCTTGCACCTTGCATTGGTGCACTTCGCTGTCTGTCCATCACGGTCCTGGCTATCTTCATTCTCAGGATTCTGGCTGTGCCGATTGATCCGTACTTCATCCTCGTTATCTACAAAAATAAGAGATGAAGTATTATTTGTATCTGGGTATACGGGTATAGTAGTGTGAGGTGTATGTGTGATAGTGTGTGGTGCATCTGTGATAGTCTGTGATACATGTGTGATAGTGTGTGGTGCATGTGTGATAGTCTGTGATACATGTGTGATAGCGTGTGGTGCATGTGTGATAGTGTGTGGTACATGTGTGATAGTGTGTGGTACATGTGTGGTAGTGTGTGTGCGTGGATAGGTTGTAGTGTGCGTAATTGTGGGTAGTGCGTGTGTAAGTGATGGACATGTGACTGCGTGTTGTGCGTGAATATGTGTGTATTCTGCCCTGTCTACGTATGCCCTGTTATTAAAAATATCCGTCGTTTCCCCCTCGAGGACACGACGGAGCTCATCCTCGTCCTCCTGATGCTGCTGCTGCCTCCTCTTCCTCTGAGGTTCCTCGTCGGACGATGTCGTCTGGTACCGTGTCGGTTTCCCTGCTGTACGTCTTGGTCGCTGTTCCATCTGTAAGTTAAATAAAAATTGAAGACAGTTTCTAAAAGTTAAAGAAAAAGTAAAGAAAGTTTCTAAATATGGAAGATGATGTACTCATTGAAAATATGCTTACTTCTCTGCTTCTTCTGTTCAAATTGATACGCTGAATTCCACGTGCACGTCGTCGTCGTCGTCGAAACTCAACTGATGTAATGAAACCGTTACTCCTACACTGCGTTACGCACAGCTATCGCTTGTCAATTGTTTGTGCGCACTGGTCTTCTGACATATGAGCGTCCAATAGAAGCATCTCCCGCTCGCACCGTTCTTCTACCTCCGGCAAAAGTCATGTGAGGAAGGCAGATACCGTACTTTCAAGTCTCGCGATTGTCACTTTTCTTGTTTCTCTGGCCCATACTATCGCACGTGCTGATAAAGTTATAGTGTGAGGTTAAAGTCACGTGAAAAGTTAAAGTTGAAGCAAAGGAAAGCCTAGGACAAGTACGCAAGATTGCAGAAAACTGACAGGTCAGACGTTTAATTATGAGCTCATCTCCTAAATTATCGATAGCGAGGAAGCCGCTGTGTAGAATATCGTCGACTAGACAAAAAAGTAGACTCAGAAAGCCTTTGACACAGAGTATACTTTCTTCATCTTCTCCTGAATCTTCCATTCTTCCAACACATGTTAATTTAGATAATGCTTCCATTCCACAGATTAGTGATGGTCAGATTAATGATAATTTAAATAACGTCGCTTCGTCATCTGGAGGTTACACAGACAACGTAATCGACAGCGCGACTTTATCTTGTTCTTCATCGTCTTCCTCTTCGTCGTCCACTTTTTCTTCTGATTTTTCTCATCGGTCTTCTCCCCCTTTGTCGAATACATCTGAAATTGTTCATGAACCTTCTTTCCTGACCCGTTTGTCTTCATATTGCGTAGATAACAATGTGAATGACGTGCAAGGTAACAATTTACTTACTCTTCTTCGAACGCACGAATGTTTTAATCATTTCCCGAAGGATATTAGAACTCTCGTACACACTCCACGCAATCGTGTTACAACGTATGTCGTAGCACCAGGGGAGTATATTCACTTTAGCCAGGAAGTAGAAATTGTAAAATACTTGAACAATTGTCCTTATAGTTCAAGTATTCATGAAATCCAATTAGATTTCCATACTGATGGATATTCCTTAGATAGGGCAGGAAGTATTCAACTTTGGCCTATACAATGCATGATTAGAAATTTACCACATGCAAGGCCAGTCATTGTAGGGATTTATAGAGGCCCCCAAAAACCAGATAGCCCTTGCTCTTTTTTTAGTAAATTCATCAGAGATGTCCAAGACATCATTTCTAAGGGAGGTATCGATTTTCATGGTACTAAGGTGCCAATCAAATTGCGGTGCTTTATCGCTGATGCTCCAGCAAGAGCGTTCATTTTAAATCACCGTAGTCATATTTCTAATCGACCTTGTTCCAAATGCAAAGTCTCTGGTGTCCAAAGTGAACGAAGACTTGCTTATATTGGAGTCGATCACCCACTTCGAACCGACGTGCAATATGTTCAGTGTTTGGACGAGGACCATCACAAAGAAGGTGGAAGCCCGTTAGCTTCGCTATCCTTTGGAATGGTTTCTCAGGTTCCATTCGAATATATGCACCTCGTATGCTTGGGTGTCGTTAAAAAACTATTATCTGCGTGGATATGCGGTAAATATTCACGCTCCTCCAAACTATCCAGTAGTCAGGTTTCTTTGATGTCTGCAAGACTGGAGAGTCTCAGACAATATTGTCCCTCTAATTTCGCTCGACGCCCAAGATCAATCCAGCAATTTTCTAATTATAAGGCCGTAGAATTTCGGCAATTTCTTCTTTACACTGGACCCGTTATAGCATCTGGAATTCTGCCCGATAAATTATTCAATCATTTTTTGCTTTTACATTCAGCGATTCGGGTATTAGCTTCACAATCTCCGTCACCTGGTTATTTAAATTTTGCAGAGATCGCTCTGCAAAAATTTGTTCTTCGTAGCGAACAATTGTATGGCCCACATTTTTGTAGTTACAACATTCATGGTCTTCTTCATTTAACCGAGGATGTTAGACGTCTTGGTTCCGTTGATTCGTTTTCTGCTTTCCCTTATGAAAGCAATATGAAAGTATTTAAAAAATATTGTAGGAAGGCGGGTCAGCCTCTCCAACAAATTGTAAAAAGAATGGCGGAGATTGATAGCAGTAGAGTGTATGTAAATAGGGATCAGGTTTCTTCGATACAGGTATCTATGCCTATTGGCAGCGGTACTGAATCTCATCTTCAGTACCGTAAGATACAATTTAATGGTATGGCCTTCAGTGTAGATGTACGCGATAATTGCTGCATCTTACAGAATGGTACCATATCCATTATTTGCTCCATTGTCAAACAGGGCGATGGAGTCCAATTAGGTGTACGCTCGTTTTTACAAGTAGATGACATGTACGATATTGGCGCGAAATCCTCCGCATTAGGGTTGTATAAATGTCGACATCTCTGTCGTGAATATTTTATTAATGTCAACGATGTTTTTGGAAAGTGTTTTAGGATGCCACTGCCTGGAGGGGAAGTCGAGGCAGAAGACAATAAAGAATATGCAATCGCTGTATTGCTAAATTCACAAGATATGTAAGACCTGTATTTATTGCACATTACAATATATCATTTTTCCTCTTCATTTTTTTTTACTGTTTGTTGTTTTCTTTCAGCAATGAGAATCCAGGACCACTTCTGGCATAATAGACCTTTACATATGACAAATGATGCAAATCGTCTCTTGATAATCTGATGTCATATGTAAATGTTATTTTCAGCACACAATACCCTTAGAGAGAACCGCTGTCGACATGGATATACTGTGATGCATTAATCTAAAGGTATAAATGAATTTTATTTTCTGCACTGAGTGTAGAAGATATAGCCTTTAAAATAGAATAACTTTTGTAACATTGGTTCCTACGATTTTAATTCTCTTGATAAATTAGAGAGATTATTTTACTGCACGCGGTATATGTAAAAAAATGATTTTTATACATTTTTTTATATATATCATGTACTAAATTAATCCTTCTAATTTGTTAAAAAAATTCAAATCATAGGGACCAATGCTACGAAAGTTAATCTATTTTAAGGACTGAAGAGGAGTACCTTCTACACCACGTATATTTTTATAAATCTTAATCATAAAAACTAATAAATTGTATTTTGTGTGTTTTATTTCATGGACGACAATGAGGAGCAAAAGAGGCAGTGAAATTTTCGGAGGAAAAAATGAAGAAAGAATCCAGTTACACCGGGCGCTTCTAACACATAAAATAGAACAATTTTTTACAGTCTGTCATCGGTAGGCCACAAGCTGTAGATAGACATACTTATAAATCTTCGTTACGTGTTAATGGATATTTCAATGTTAACTTCAGGTAGCAAAAAAAAGTAGACCCTTTAAACACTTGTGTTAATTAAATCGTGTAACTAAGAACATTTTTTTACAGTCTGCCAATCACAATTTAGATTAATCTTAGCCTAAATTTAACGAAATTTCACAAGGCAGACTGCAAGTATATAAATGTTTCAGACGTACTATATTGTATTAACTCCGACTTAACAAGGTCCGAGTTATTGTAAAAAATTTAATACATTAGTGCGTCTGAAACATATATATACCTGCAAACAGTCTTGTGAAATTTCATCAACTTGACGCTAAGATTAATCTAAATTGTGCTTGGCAGACTGTAAAAAATGCTCTTAGTTTGCTAACTAACATAACTGTTTAAAGGATCTACTTCTTTGCTACCTAAAGTTAAGGTTTAATTTAACACGTAACGAAGATTTGTAAGTATGTCTATCTACAGCTTGTGGCTGTAAATATTTCCCCTACCGATAGCAGACTGTAAAAAATTGTTCTATTTTATGTGTTAGGAGCGCCCGGTGTAAGTAAAAAGTATGGAATCTGACCAGTATTCCGATT